GCCGCTCCGCGCGGCCCCATGGAGTGCTACTACATCGTGATCAGCTCGGCGCACCTCAGCAACGGGCACTTTCGCAACATCAAGGGAGTTTTCCGCGGTCCCCTCAGCAAGAACGGCAACAAAACTCTGGTAATGTCTCTCCCGCCATGCCCGTTTTCCCCCTTCTTTGGCTGCCTTGGCTCCCTGCGCTGCCGTCGGGATGGCCGCGTGCGCGGGGCGCGGATGGAGCCCCGCGCGCATCGGGGAGGCACCGGCGGCTTCAGGCGTGCCCCGAGGTCCCCATGCACCCGCAGAGCATCTGTGGGTTCCTCCCGAGCAGAGGGTCCTGAGCCTGGCCATGGCAGTGTGGGAGYGGAGAGCTGGGGGACTCTTCTTGGCCAGGGTCTGTGTGCCCCATGGTTGGGGTCAAACCACTTGCAGGTTGGGGAGCAAAGTCTGGGAAGAAGCTATGAACTCCTCGGGTGAGGCAGCTGCAACACGTTTCTCATCAAGCAGGGCTGGGTTTAGGGCRCCAGGTGATTCCAGGCATTTCAGGTATTGGGACCAGCTGGAGGCTTGGCTCTAAAAAGTGGGGGAAAAGGCAGAAACTTGTTTACTCGAGGTCTGAGCACTTACATAGAGAGGCTTTTTTGCTGGAATAGAGCTCCAAAAATCATCTGTGTTGTTATTATGATTTTTTAATCAATGACAATTTTGAAGGCTCTTGAGCTGTTCAGGTGATTTGGCYGGATGCTCTGGAAGGTCTGCCTCGGGTATGAAAATCGCTTGCGTGCAGATATGCTGCAGTTTGCTACCTCTGCATCTCTTGGCTTCCCTGTGCTTTTGCTGACTTGCTTGGACCTGATTGCGGTGATTTCTGAACTTTAATGGGGGAGGAATGACACGACGGTGCTGGCAACACCTGTGCTACGCTGCCCGCTGAGCGTAGCTGCTGGAGGAAAGCGCTAGCCTGGCCGAGCTGCCCCGTGTAGTGCTTGGGCAGAGCCCAGCAAAGTGGGCACAGGGCAGAGGGGGCTCAGTGTGGTGCTCCTCGCTCCCCTCCTTCACCACTCCATTCCAAAATTCCCTCTGGGCGCCGTGGAACCGAACTTACTTGCCCTGTTCCTGTTCCCTCGAATGCATGACCTATATCGATGATGAATTTACTGGAGTACTTAACGTTTCCTGGAGTTGGCAAGCTTGCAGTTTCTCACTAAATAAAGAAATTAAAGCAAGTCTGAGCCAAGTCATAAAAATAGTAACTACTACGGGAGAATCTGAGGCAGWTTTTTTTTTTTTCACCTCTTCAAATGTAAAGCTGGTGCTTTCACATTGTAAATCTGATAGAGATTTTGTTTAGTATGAATTCTGTATATTGATCTATGAGGAAATAGAATTTTAAATATTAAACTAATGTTTGAAATAACCATGAGATGGCAATATGTGTGTAATATTTCACTCTTGCGGTTAAGAACCCAGGACCTACTGTAGAAATGTTTGATGCACTTGAATAATTGCACAATATATTGCTATCTTTCTGCTGGGCAATTTCAGGAGAGATGGATCAGGCAAGAGTGAGAATAGTCTGGCACAACTTTTGGACTGTGTTTTATCTTGCTGTTCATCATAGATTGTGGGTTTTTTTTTATTTTATTTTATTTTCTTCTTCTTCCTTGGTTTTAAAAACAGTCTTGTAATCTAACAATCCTGATCTTGGGTGGCTTCATAACCCCCCAAGTTCTCAACGTGTTAAAAAGGGAAAGTTGTACTGATAGTGTAATAAATTCCTTAACTGTGAAATAAATAGTGTACATATACAGCCATGAAGGCTATTTTATTATTTATGTTAGAGTGCTTAGTCGTGATGTAGCATGATTTGATAACTAATAGCTTTGACGTACTAAAATATATTTCAGGCAGCTTCTATTAAAAATCAAATGTTAAATCACTTCAGCTGATCTGTCTCTATTGCTATAAATAGCCTTTCAAACTTCCAAAGATGAAGATCTTTATTAATATATATTGTAGAATGTCCCTTTAGAATTTTTGGTAAGAATATAACCTTTTAATATACTCCTGGCATCTTCCATCTGAGAACATGACTGTGTTTTTCACACTGATTTCTAATTATAAAAGCACATATATTTTGAGAAGCTTTGGCTCAGATACATCTTTCTACCTTGGTTTAAAGCACATTTGGTCCATATTCATCTCTACTCCAATCTAAGACTGCTAAAAGTTGCTGCTTCCTTATGAGCAGAGAACTGAAAAGACCCTTTGTTTATACCATATGGAATTGCTCCTATGCAGAACTTAGCATGTTTATTAAGCTTCTTCTCTACTCTGAAGAAGTCTGGCRTGATACTTTATTAGAAAGAAGCACAACTATATATAATTGAATTTCATAGGAAGTAGGAAGATGATGGGCATAATCAACTGATATGATTATTAGGTGTTTTTTTGGTTTAAGAACCCCCTCCACCCCCACCATATTTTAGCATCTGTGCTTTTGGTGTTACTGGTGACAAGGCTGAATCCGAATTACTTATTTGAGAGTTGGAAAACAGTGTGTGAGGGATGATAATGTGCAGTAGATAAAAGAAAGAAGGACGCAGTTCAGTAAGTCAATAGAAGTTGAGCCTGGAGAGAGTGAAAGGCAGAAGTAACAAAGGAAAGAGCAGATTTAGCCAAACTGAGGAAAAAACACTATGATTTTTTTTAATTTTTTTTAATGGACAATTGGAAAAATGAAGGAATGGGTATCTACAGTTCTGGCTGTCTGATGAATAGCAGTAGAGTTCTGCAGTGTGGACACGTGCTGGTGGGCCTAAATAGCCCTCGAGTGTTYGGGTGGGAGCACATAATTTAAATGTCACTCCTTATCAAGAAAATGAATTAGAATTAGGAATTAATGGAAAAGTGACTCAATGTATTCAGAAGAATAGCATCCAAAATGTTAAAACTTCTTCAGAAAATATAGAAGTCTAATTCAAAGAAATTGGTGGTATTTGGGCTGTTCAGGAGGGTTTATTTATCTTCTCTCACTGCAATTTATACTGCCTGAAATGTTCTTCAAGGATGTACAGTCTCTTAGTGCTCACTCTTATACTGCCGATGTCCTCCGCTTAGCACTCAGTCTAAAGAACTGCCGCGATGGTTGGTTTTGCTGGTGGTMGATGTTCCGAATGAATCGGCTGCTGTTCCCTTCTTTGTGTGGCAGATCATTTTGTGAAGTGGAAGCTTGGAGGTTATAATATGTGTCTCTGAAAGCTGGCAAGATCAAGCAAAGTTTTAATGCTTTTTCTGCAATTCTATGGGTTAATGCTTATGACTTTGCTTTTTTAATGGACAAATATAGGCTGGTTGAACAATCCTTTGTGGACAGGGTTCATCTCAATGACTTTGGAGCTTTTTCCAAGATTTTTGATTTCTTTTAATAGTTGATTTCTAACTCAGAGTGAGAGTTCATAGTAATTTTCAGTTGCTACAAACTCTTCCATATGTCAATGGATCTTCTAAAGTTCTCATTATGCTTTTTTTTTTTTTTTTTCTTATGCCATATGTTATGGAGGTCAAATTACACTTTGTCTTATTCCTTCTTGTGGCTTCTGTCCTCTACTTTATCTCAGGAGAGATTGAAAATTGTAGGGAAAAAGAGTGATAACTCTGGAGAGAGAAATCAGGTGTTTGGAGTGACACTCACAGGCGACCAATAAAATTGTCTTTCAGCATACAAACCAGAAAATTAAGGCTTTATCCTAGTTGCTTATATTGGCTGGTCAGTAAGAGACCAGCTACTCTTCAGTGGAGTCYTTCCGATAAACTAATTGGTTTGTTACTAGTGATTGAATATCTGCTATTTCACCCCTAGATACTTCACTCATGGAAATGGCTCCATATTTCTTCCGTCAAGATTTATAGTGATGGGGAACTGGCCATGTTGGCCTCGTCTACTTTTTTAGACACACACTTTTTTTTTTCCCCTCCCTATCAGTGATCAGAATGACTCTTATTATTTGCTCAAGGAGATTAATGAAAGTTTTAGATGCATAAAAGGTGTAAATTGCCACTTTAATTTGCTCCAATTATAAGTGGGGCTGATTGCAAGAAAGTGGGTAAAATCAGAAGTTTTATGTGAAGTCCTCCATTAAAAGGCTGTGTTTTAAAAGGTACTGGTCACAGTAATCTTCTGTTATGTATGCTCTTGCATACGCTCTCTGTCTCCCTTGTGTGTGTGTTTGCATAAATTTTGGCTACAGCAGAAAGAAAATATTTATATAAAAGCGCAAGTCCTTTAGAACTCTGTAGGTACAGTTCTGTTTAAAAATCAGTTGGAAAACTGCTTAGACCATGGCTGAATGTTTTATGGATTTGTGGCAACTGCTGTCTTGCCCCTCTCTATCAAAAAAATGTGCCTGCTGTGAATACACAGGCACATATGTGCGTGCCTGTACACGCATTTATTTATGTGTCTATGTATGGGAATACATATTTTTTAAATCCCTGGGCTAAATGCTTATGATTTTATAAAAATTCCATGGAGTTCAGACATTGAGAAACTGGTGTATTCTGAAAAATGCCATCTGTTGTTCAGGCTGTCTGTTGTCCTTATTTCTTTTACATTTCGTAGATTATTTTTGTGTTCTCAGATCAACTAAAGTAAATATGTTGTGGTGGACTTAATCTATTTTATGAGCATTTCTATTACAAATATCTGTACCCTACTATAGTGAGAAAGTAGTAATTTACTTGTAAACCCCCTTCCTGCTGTAGAAAATATTGTTTCCTGGGTAATCAGGTGAAAATGTTTGCTAATTATGAGCCTCCAAATACAAACATAGCGCTTACTGCAGTTCTGTTTTAAATATTAGAAGAAAAGGCTCTTGCAACTCCTTTTGCCATATTGTATGTTAGCAGTAGCTGAGGATATAGATATGTATTTTAGTTCTTATGTATTACGAACTTAATAAAACTATTGCAATGTGTTATTTTTCCATTGTTAGTGGTTATTGAGCTTGTATATAGCATGTTTCAGTCATTAGTCTGTGCTTACGTGTCGCTCCTGTGCTGAAAGCAGTTAAGCTTCTGAGTGTCCTAAGTGACTYGGAGATGTTGGGGCCTCAGCACTGGACACTAGCTGAGCAGGACCT